ATAGAATGTCCAAGCAATGCTGGGTCAGCATTCTATAACTACAAGAACTATCATAGCATGGTGTTATTAGCAGTTTGTGATGCTCATTATACTTTCACTGTGGTGGATATTGGCGGATATGGAAGAGATAATGATGCATCTATTTTTGGTGAATCATATATTGGGCAAGTATTTCAACAAGAATTAATCCAATTGCCACAACCAGAGTCAATCAATGGCATTCAACTTCCATATACCTTAGTCGGTAATGAGATATTTCCACTAAAGGAATGGTTAATGAAACCATACCCTGGTAGCCACCTAATTTTGGAAAAGCGAATCTACAATTATCGACAATCAAGAGCTCGTTGTACCATCGCAAATACATTTGGTATCCTAGCAGCAAAATGGAGAATCTTTCGACGCCCCATTCGTGCTACTCAAGAAACTGTTGAAAGAATTATTAAAGCAACTGTATGTCTTCATAACTACGTCAGGTTAACAGATAATGCACATTATGTACCAACTGGTTTTGTAGACAGTGAAAACAACAATGGTGAAATTATTCCAGGAGATTGGAGGGATATTGTTAATATTGCCAATGATACAAGCTTAGCATTAAGAAGTAGGAACCACGTTAGTGGAAACAGATATACCTTTGAGGCTGATACAGCACGAAACAATTTCTTGCAGTATTTTAACAGTAAAGAGGGTGAATTACCTTGGCAATTACAACATGTTGAAGATAACACTAGAATAACTGATTAATGACAAAAGCAAAATGTATTATGTAACAAAATAGTTTTACATGTATTGTACTACATTTTCATTTTGTTACTTATTAAACATAGTTGGAGAAGTACATGTAGGTTGTGCTTGCCAAGGATGCTAAAATTCACAGTTAAGCAGTATTTGCTGAATTTGAATTTTTTCCTGCTGCTTCATTGGAGGTTGTAGCCTCTTTAACTGAGGTACAATACTTTTACAAAATAGTGTGTCTTCGTCACCTTTGTCTGTAGATATAGCATCCACTGAAGTACTAAGTGCTTTTGAAATGTTGTTCATTCCCTTGAAAAGTGCCTCATCTAGTTGTTGCTCAGTTACCTTTTCTGCACATTTTGACCATGGTCTTTTCCTAGTATTTGTACTACCTTTTCTATCTTTTCTAGAGCCTAGGCCTCCATCAGAACTAGAACAATCCACTTCACTTGATACACTGGTTTCATCATCAGCAACAATAGAATCGTCTGTAATTGAATTCACATCAACATGTGGACTATCATCTGGTATGTTAATGTTAGTAATTGTGTCCCGGTGTTCAATAAAACTTTTAAGCCAATCAAGGTTTTCATATTCAGCAATATATGGTACATTTTAACGTCCAGTTCCTGTTGGCAAAGTTTTCTTTTTTTGTAAGTATCTTCCAAAGCTTGTTCTGATCGATTTGTACCTCTTTTCAGCTTCTTCTGGTGTCACGCCAAATGTAGTAGCAATAGCTGACCAGGCATTCTGCTTTTTGTATTTGTCCTAGAAGTATTTGGAAAACTTGTCATACAATACAGGATACTTCTGTATTTCCTCCATATATTCTTGTGTGTTTCTTATGCTTTTTGCACAAGGTTGAGGCTCGTTTGAAGCTTCCTTCTTGTATCCCTTTCCATCATGATTTCCATCTAGCATAGTTGCCATTTTGTTTTGAGGGTGGAGTATAGGTGGGGTCGGGTCGTAATTGGGCAGAGAGGCTGAGAGAGATCTGTTCCCATCGGTTTCCATAAGATACAACAGTAGCTCAATGATTGTGGAAATCGTGGAGATAGAACTTCGTGCTGTCTCTACAACAATGTTGCACAACTACCTGAGGGTTACAAAACAGTTGCAGTGAATGTTTCCATAAAATCGTGTGGCTGTTGCACTAAAATTGCAAGATAATTTAGCCATATGGAAACCAGGCTTAAGTGCAACCAGATATTTAATCATATATAATTACATAAATAAGTCAAAAATGTATTGAAATTATGTGTGGGCCACTGACACAGATTATTACACTAACAGCATTATTAGGTATAACCATATATTCATATTGACTCACTCCTACTTTTGTTGGCTAGGCTAGATATGGAACCCAGGAGTTGTATGGCATTCCTTGTGATACTACTACACCTGCTTTGTATTTGAAGCATGTTGGTACTAATCATTTCCAAGCAGTTAAGTCTATTAATATTTCTTAAAGCATTGATTGTTGATGGAAAGTGGGTATGGTGAATGGGAGGTCCATCGTCTTTAAAACATTGGTTGTTTAATGTGACTTTTATTTCACTGCATGTGCAATGTGAGTGTGTGTGAAAACCAGGTGCATATCCACCCATTACTGCTTAGTATAAAGTGATCAAACTGCATTCAGGATGTGAGATTAATCAATGTGTAACAGTGAATATTGATTATTTGTGGCTATAATGGACAGGGAGAGGGTGTGAAAGAGGTTTACTGTTCATAAGAGTTCAGCATTGATTCAATTTTGTGTGACTATCATTTATGTAGGACACAGGGTTAGGAAGGGAGAAAGCTGTCATTATCAATTCCCGATCTTGTTTGTGGCTTGTACTACATGTTTGTAACAAATATTAGGTGCTTATCGATCAAAGGCGCTGCTGACAAGTTTTGATGGACAAGAAAAATTTAGAGTAACAGTAAAAGTTCTCATTGTACATGTAGTATCATTCAAACAGTGATTTGGTACATGTATTAATGATCATCATACATGTCAATGCTGCCATCAATGCTGTGCGCATTACTTATATGTAAATGCTTGCCAGCTGATGTTGCGCATAATGCTGCCATCAATGCTGTGCGCATTATTAAGTTAATGCTTGCCAGCTGATGTTGCGCATCTTTTGTTGATGATTGTTGTAAATATGTGCATGTTCACATAAACAAAAAATATTGTTGTAAGTACATATGTACTATAATGGAGTTACAAGGAATACAAAAGTTCCATGTGATTGGTAATAGAGTTTGTTCACCATTACTGTTTGTACTATTGTTATTATTAGCCCATGTGTTAACATTGCTTGCATTTGATGTGTTTATGTTACTATGCTTTACAGGTAATGACAGCTGGAAAGGATTTGATGATTCAGCAATATTTTCATTGCTCGATATTGTAATGTGCAATAATAATTAAAGGCAGTTCTGGATTTCGATTGTTGTAACTAAATATATTTCATTATTAAATGGAACTTAATGTTTTATTGTAGGCTCTTGATGAGTAGTTTTATCACACTGCAGGAGGTGCCTGCATAGGTTTTATATTACTGTAGTCTAAGGAATAGAATATGTAGTAAGATTAAATATTGTGAGATTCCCAAGTATCTTATGTATTTTGTTTTAGGGTATGATTCAAGGTTACATCTAGATTCGTTTGATGGGTATGTCATTATAACCATGGCCACTGTATGTACTCTCACTATAAGTTATTGTTTGCCAGCATATCTTTCGTTGATGATTGTTAGTTTATTATAATAATATTATGTGCATGCATGTTCTCATTAACAAACAACAATTGTTTGCACATTGGAAAGTATTCATGTGTTCTATATTTATATGAATTTGCTCAATGCAAGTCTCATAAAAAATCATAATTCAGTATAGAATTAGAAAGCAAATTAAAAGATGTTTGTCTTTATTTTTTTGTAGATTATGAATGACAACACTGTGCATGTTCATGTATGTAATCAATATGTCCACGTTGATGGCTACTTAGGTATTATTTATTTCTTAAATCATGCATTATCATAATAATGTGTATTTTTCTTCTAGGAAGATTAATAGAAACTAAAGCATTGGAGCATTTTTGTCTTGTCAAACACTGTGCATTGCTAATGTATTCTAATCTTGGCTTAACGCTGGTGCATTTTTTATTGACATTTTGATAATTTTAATATTAAGTCTACATCTATTATTATAATAAAGTTATGATACATGTAGTTAGTAAAAGTTATAATTTTTTGTTCCAACTTGGGGTCTTGGCCTCCTTCCCCTACCCCTGCCCTTGGCAGGTCTTCTTGGTAGATTGAGATACTATTATGGAATATAATTTAGTACATCATAGTAAAGACTTACAATTTGTCTATTGACAGCCCTCAATTGGGCAATAATGAGCTGCCTTTGCTGGTGCAGCAAAGGCAGTGCTGGGGCAGGAGGGACTGCTGGAGCCCCTGCAGTAGGGACTACAGGTGCACCTGCAGGAGGGACTGCTGGAGCCTCTCCAGGAGGGACAATGGGTGCCCCTCAAAGAGGGACTCCCAGAGCCGCTCCAGGAGATACTACGGGTAGTGGTGGGCAATATATCGATATTGTATCGATACAAACGATATTTTACGGCATCGATACATTTTGATATCGAAATTTTCAGGGACCCTGTACCGATTCAGTGGCCATGCCCATTAATTAACATTATATAACCAAATTATTAATATAACCAATTGTTAATTAACTTTTTGACTTTATAAATAATAATTATTATAACATTAATCACCCACGTGCGTTAAGCAGTTCTTCTATCTTTCTTGTTGTAGTTAGTTTGGTTACAGCTGTAGTTTATTTAAACTTGACCTTCAACCCCAATGGCTAGCTCAACAATTAATGTAGCCCAGCAGTCCTCAGTGCTTTCTAAGAAAAGAAGTACGATTTGGTAATATTATAAGGAATCTGGAGAGAAGCAAGCAAGTTGTGATTTGTGTGGTACAAAGATGTCTACTGCTGGAAATATAACAAATATGACAAAGGTATTAATGTACTACATAATAAGTACTATCATCATTGATCCATTAGCACCTTGAAAGACATCATCCAGGGCAATATAAGGAGTTTAATGAGAGATAGGCTGCACAAGTCAACTGAATCAGCAGCAAAGAAAAGGAAGGTTACTGGACAGCTAAGTATGGAACAAGCAATTGAAAGAACAACTGGATATGGAAGTAAGTTCAATACAAGCTAGCATAATTTAATTTTTCTTACCTGGTTTGTAGAGGAATCGTTAAGACGAAAGTGCATAGATGAAGCACTATTTAATGCTAGTTACTGATTTACAGCCAGCAAAAATAGTTGAAGATAGGGGCTTTAGAAATTTCATCAAAGTATTAGATCCACGATACACCCCTCCTAGCAGGTGTAGCATCAAGCGAGAATCCTTGCCCAAGCTCTATGAAACCAAAAGAGAGGAGCTGAAAGTGATTCTAGAGAAGGTGGAATTTTTATCCTAAACAATGGACCTTTGGACATCAAAAGCCAATATGGGTTATATCACAGTAACGTGTCACTTCCTGACTGCAGACTGGTCACTACATTCAGCAGTGTTATCAACGACGCATGTGGACCAGTCGCATACTGCAGTTCACCTTTCAGAAGTGCTAAAGAACATCACCGATCAGTGGAACATAACCAGCAAAGTAGTATGTGTAACTACCGATAATGCTCTAAATATCACGAATGCAGTTTGCCACAACTCCTGGAAGAACTTACCTTGCTTTACTCACGAAATCAATCTTGTTGTTACAAACTCACTTTCAGAGTTAACCGATCTCTCAAGATTAATACAGTCAGTGAAAGACATTGTAAGCTACTTTCACAGGAGTACAAAAGCTTCGGACAATCTCAAGACTATACAAGCTCGTCTTAACTTACCAGAACATAAACTAATACAGCATGTAGAAACAAGATGGAATAGTGTGTTCTACATGTTGGAGAGATATATAGAGCAGGACGAAGCCATTTGTACAGCACTCTGCCTTTTAAATCGCAATGATTTACTTATTGACGTTGACAAGCTTGTAACGCTCCAAGAAACGGTTGACACGCTACGTCTATTTGAAGCTGTTACAACAGAGATGTCAGCTGAAAAGCATTTGTCAGCCTCTAAGATGATACCTATTACCAAGGCCCAAATAAAGGTGACAACAGAAACGACAAATAACTTGGCACTTAAACTTGTCGATCATATGAAGGTCAGGTTCTTGAATATGGAGGGAAATCCCATACTAGCTGCAGCAACAATTCTGGATCCCCGTTTTAAGACCTTTGCCTTTGCTGATCAGGGAGCAGCAGAGAGAAGTTGGACAGCATTGGTAGCTCAGTGTGGGTCCCAAACTCAAGTAGAAGACAGCTGACTCTGCCATACCAGTAGTTGAAGAGTCTGATCTTCTGTGGCGATTCTTCGATCAGAGGGTAGCAGAAGTCAGATCAACGCTGCTACCAAGTACAGATACCTTTGCTGAGGTGCAGCAGTTCTTAAGAATGCCTATTTTGTGTCGAAAGGCCGATCCATTACAATGGTGGAAACGTAACGAGAAGGCATTCGCAAATATTAGTAAATTAGCAACAAAGTATCTCTCCATCTTAGCCACCTCTGTGCCATCCGAGAGATTATTCACCAAGGCGGGAGAGCTCATATCAGCCAAACGAAGCAGGTTGAAGCCCAAGAACGTTGACATGTTCCTTTTTTTGAACAAATATGAAGACTGATAGTCTGTGATAGAACTTATTGTGCTTTTATGTGGGTGTGTTTATAAAGATATGGGTGTGGTTAAACATATTATGGGTGTGGTTCCATGTATTGTATCGAAATTGTATCGATACCACTGATATTTCCATGATATCAATCGATATCGTATCGAATCCATTTTGGCCTGTATCGCCCACCACTAACTACAGGTGCACCTCCAAGAGGGACTGGCAGAGCCCCTCCAGGAGGGATTGCCGGAGCTCCTCCAGGAGGGATTGCCGGAGCTCCTCCAGGAGGGATTGCCGGAGCTCCTCCAGGAGGGATTGCTGGAACCCCTCCAGGAGGGATTGCCGGAGCTCCTCCAGGAGGGATTGCTGGAGCCCCTCCAGGAGGGATTGCTGGAGCTCCTCCAGGAGGCATTGCCGGATCTCCTCCAGGAGGCAGAATGGGATCTTCTCTCCTATCCGGATCTGGGTTTGGTGACCAACTCATACTATGAAAAAGATTTATACAAGTATATATAGTGTTTAAGCTAGAGGTTGGATAAACTGACTTTTTGCTTGCAAAGTACGAATAACAAATATTGAAATGTCGTCTGATGCCTGATTGCAAATTGACTAAAGTCTAAACTTTAAAGTAAGGACTGTACTGCTCAGTGACAAAGTGTAGTTGAGCGGGAAATCAGGCATGGTTATTAAAGATTATTAACCAAAACAGGATATTACGTCACATTAATAATTAGTTATTAGCTATGAATTTGATTATTATTTCAAATTTTCATGTTTCTAGATGTGGTATGTTTATTTTGTGTATGCACAAGTAGCCAAAAATTAATATCTTGCAGAAGTTTTAATATTCTGTAATGGATTTTTCAACTTAGTTAATTAATATCAATAAACATAATACTGATATAAATATAACAATAATTAACAAATTGAATAAAAAGTATGGAAACAAGTTAATAAAAAATTTCTATAAATAAGAAAAAGTAGGGTTGTCAAGAAAATAAAAGAAGGAATGGGGTTGAGTTCAATCATAATAATTATTAATTCAATTAATAATAATAAAAGTTAATTAATAAAAAAAATTATTCAAAAAAATAATACATAAATTTCAACCCTACTTTGCAGCATTTAATGAAGGATTACTGATTCCGTTAACATGACAAAGTTTAATGAAAGAATAACAACCCAACTACTTAGTTTCAGCCTGCGCAAGTGTGCGAGTTGACCCTACTGACAATTCCTAACAATGTAACATAATCAGATCAAAACTTTTAAAATGTATATATACTAAAGACATGCATCCATGCTTTTACTTTTAAAATCAAACTAACAAGTATACAATAATATTTTAATTTTATTAATTTTTATGGTAATGCATCAGAAAAATTAAAGAATGCAATAGCAAACTAATCATCCATAGTTTAGAATTTTCACTTGTGATGACAGTAATTTATTCAATCAATGCTAGGTAAAAATTCTGATTTTTATATATCAGAATACTTAATTTACATCATACTCATAACAATGTATTAAGGCAATCACTAAGTACAGAAGCATAAATAATTTAAATTCATTAATTTATATTGTAGTCTGAATATTAGCATATTCTGCAAAGTAGGGTTGAAACTTATGTATTATTTTTTAGAATAATTATTTTTTATTAATTAACTTTTATTATTATTAATTGAATTAATAATTATTATTATGATTGAACTCAACCCCCTTGTTTCTTTTAATTTTTGACAACCCTAATTTTTCTTATTTATAGAAATTTTTTTATTTACTTGTAATATACTTACAGGAGCTAGAATGAGAGAATAATCTTTGTTAATAGTACATCTTCAGGCTTCTTTTAAGTGTTCTTGTCCCTCCATTGAAATGCTTACTTTCTCTTCTTTAATGGTTTCAGCTGTTTCTGTGGTTTAGGAGATAAACCTGTTGAATGTGGCCAGCGCAGGATCAGTAGCAGCATCCGCAGTGTCATTGATAGTCTTGCGACCCGGACAATGTAAAGGGCATGGCTACATTCGTTTCAGTCATTTCTTCTATTTATCTTTGCCATAGAGGAGGAATAGAGAGAGAAATTATTAATTAGGCAAAATTGTCTCAAGTTTTTGAGGATGGAGTAGGAACCTCGTGCCCTCGGAGTGCTTGATATTTCACTCTGAGCTGTTGTTTACGACTCAAAATACCTTTTCTGAGCTCACACAAAGCAGTGAAATGTTTGCAATATACATAAAGGTGCCTAATTGGGGTAGTCTTGTGGGCATGTTTTTGGATATAAAGCAGAGCAGTAGAGCCTTGATAACCGGAGACGGGGTTTCAAACATTGTTGCAGAGCTCTAACTCTCTGCACTCTGCTTGCTCTTACTACCCATGTATAAGGAGATAAAATGTGGAGACAGGGCATTACAAATGGTAGGTGTATAGTTGTATGTACAAATAATGAGTGTATAGTTGTGTGTGGGTGTATGTGTACTTTAGACACTGTTGTGACAGGCTTGGTACAGGATATGGTTTATAAGTATATAGTAATCGTACATAGTGTTAGTTTTGTTTGGTGTGTGTTAAAAGAGAGTGAGAAAAAGAAAACCCCACTGAAGTGACAACAAGTGGGCGGGGTCCCCACCTTTGTTGGGACCCCGACTTTGTGGTAATTGTACTGTATTTTTGAAATTAGATTCATAGCTGTTGTTTTATTGGAATTACCTTAGTTATTACATTTGTTGCTTGTATAAAACGCTAGGTTGTATTATGGATCCAGTGTGTTTCTAATCTGTCGAGTATTTCTGAGTTGTTTGATTTTGGACTTTCAATGACTTGCATTTTGAGATGTGAAAGTTGATGTCCAGGTAGATTGAAATGCTTACTGTTAACTGGGTTCGTTGTTGTTTATACTTGATTGATGGTAACAAATTCATTCACTTCAGGTTTTTGATGTTTTCCCAAACAATTGTTTGTGGAATTTATGACTTGTGATAAGATATGACATTGCTGCTAGAGCATGTGAAAGGATGTTTCATCGTGAATTGTCTTTTGTTTGCCGTGCTTCTCAAAATTGCAGACGAGTTGAAATGGTTGCAGGTGCTACAGCACTTTATATTGCGTTTGTTTGGTCCTGTTGTTCTCAAAGTGACAATTCTTATTGGTTGGTTCTGTTGTAGTATTAGCCTGTTTTTTCTGTCATTTTTTGTAAATCTTCTGTTGATGGTCTATTTTTGCTGTGGACGAGAATATTTTTCAAAGTGTTGCTTTTTAATGTTACAAATAAGGGTTTGTTGCTGTATCCCGATAAATTGCATTCATAAAATTCTTCAAGAAGAATTCTTTAAGCAGATGAAGTTTGGTGGTGAAGTGCATTTTATTGCAGGCTTCGTTGTCTTGAGGTGTTGTTGTTAATTTGAAGGTACTTAGCTCTATATTTGTACTTCACACTTATTATTGCCGTGTTAAAAAACTAATGAGATGTTAAGTGAATCTCTTTATTTGTTTCTTATATTCAATAATAGTAGGGTTGGTACGAACATATCTCATTGTTTTGCCTATAAGAGGCCTTTATGTATATGTAGTGCGTGGTAGGAGTTGAAGTAAAGGTATTGGTATTGATTAATTTCTTTTTCATGCATTTTAATGTTAAGTTGATTTGTTTCAGAGAAATCTTTACCCTTATAGATGGCTATGTCAAGAAAGATGATAGTTGTTTCTGACTGCGACATGGTGAACTTTATCTTTAGATGCAATTTCTTAAGTTTTTTAAAAGAATTATTACAGTCTTCATGCTTGGGCCAGAGCATTACGATATCATCAATGTAGCATTTAAAGAAGAATGGCTTTTCAGGGATTGAAAATAGTAACTATTTAATGAGGACAGACATGTGGATGTTAGCTACTGTTGGAGAAAAAGCTGCCCCCATTGCTGTTCCTATGATTTGAAGAAAACTTTTTTACTAAATTCAAAATAGTTATTATTTAGAATAATGCTGAGATGTGTTATTAAATCTCGATCAAAAATTAAGAAATCTTTGTGATTGAACGTTTCATTTCTGACTGATTGTAGACATTCACTTTGAGGGATAGATGTGTAGAGACTTTTTACATCTGCCGTTACTAGAATGATGTATTTTGATATTTTTGACATTTCTAGATGATATCAGTAGGGTTGAGTTCTTCAGTAAATCGCTAATGTGCTTGTGCAAGTAGTTGTAGGACGTGGTCACTAAACTTTGCTGTGTTTGACAATTGAGAATTGTTAAGTGTGTTTATTGGTCTGAGTGAAGGTAGCCCATTCACATCCAGTTCTTTTTGCATTTTCAAAAGTCTGTAGAAATTGGGAGTTTCATCTGTTTGGTTTTGTTGTAAGAAGCGATACAATCTGTTGTTTGAGGCCCTAAATTGATTTTTAAACCTGACACGAGTGTTTTGTATTTCTTTTCTTATTTCTTCCTATGGCAATGTTTCACTCTGATGTGTGTTTGATGTCAGTTGGTCTAGGCATTGTTCGATGTAGTCATTGCTATTTATCACTACTATGCATTACTACTTGTCAGCTGGTTTTACAACTAGGTTTGATTTCTTAACCATTTTATCGCTCTGAGTTCTGTTTGGATGTAATTTGCGTCTTGTTTGATGTAATTTTACAGAGCAGTTTGTCTACTTTAAT